TAGGGATGGCAAACGGGTCCAGTTTCGTGGATTCCGCACCGCATCCGCTCCAATTGGAGCGGGGATGGGTATAATTTTAGCGGGTAGTGGGCGGGTGTGGATTTATAAAGTGATACCCATCGTGGGTGGTGGGCGGGTAATGGGTATGAGACATTACTCGCCCTACATCTGCCCGGCCCGCATCTGCCTGCCCCACATCCGCCCGCCCAGCTAAATATCTATTAAATTTTGGACCATTATGAATTTAGGTGTAATTTTAAAGACTAATTTATAAATTTTAATATTGTATAATATATAACATATAATTTAACCAAATATTAAGGATATTTAGTCTTTAATCTGGTCTTTAATTAGGGAAATATTTGGCTCTTTGATTAAACTCATAATCCCACTAACCACGTCACTTTCCATGTTCTTTAGCCCATGCTGTCCATCCAAACACAAATTAGCCGTACTATATGCATTAACATCAAAAGCAGAAGTTTACATGTTCTTTAGCCCCTCAAAACCCATATTAGGCGCACTATGAGCATTAACATCGAAAGCAACTCAACAATCCAGCTCTGCGACTACATGCTCCCTACAATTTGTCTCCATAACATTCGTAGAGCCACACCTCTGACAAATTGAAGCATGCGTTGCTATCCCATCACGAACTGTCTGGGAACCAACTCCAACATCCCATTAGTTTGCTTTCAGGCGGGTCTAGATGGGTATGTCGCTAGTGGGTAGTGGGTGTAGGGATGGATTTGAAAATGTACCCGCGTGGGCGGGCGTGGATTTGAAATTTTGTACCCATCATGGGTGGTGGGCGGGTGATGGATTGAAAAATATTAGATGGGTATGGGGATGGAGGAGGGGGTATCCGCACCCGACCCGCCCGTTTGCCATCCCTAATGTTATCCATGGTTAATAAAGATTATAAATAGATACTGCGTTGTAAACATTCAAAACTATTTATTAAAGGAAAAAACCTTTGTTATATCACTACCATATATAAGTACTTGAACAAAATTGCACTTTTAAAATAGTTTAGCAGAATGATAATTTTGTTACAAATCTTTATTCTCTTCTCATTTTGATCCTTTATGTTTTGTTGTGTGTGCGATTTATCTCTTCTACGTCAATTCATGCACTGATACGCTTTCTTTCTCATGCTTTCCATTATTCCTCTTCATGCTTGATTTCGGTATGTGAAGTTTCACAGTGGTTCGACCATAACTGGATACTTGTTCTTCGGCATACGAACAAGCGTTGCTTGCACCGAATCATCTTTCTCGAGAGCTCTCCACCTATAGATTACATTGTTATAATTTAGTTATCAAACTGAATTGTTGGAGTTTTATAGTTTAAGCATTGCATCATCTTACTTGTATCTGCAGACCAGGTGATGGATGAAGATGCAGATTTCGAGTTTAGCCAGGTTCATTCCTGGGCACATTCGTGGTCCGCTGCCGAATCCGAGGTAACTGAAAGTCTTTAAAGGTGCCTGCAATTGAAATACACAGATATACTCAAGTGCATGCCTCCTACAGGAAAACAATAATTTCACTGCTGATATCTTACATCAAATCTGGAAGGATCAAACTTTTCAGGGTCGGGGAAAGTTCCAGGATCATGGTGGATCGAAACGACGTCCAGGTTAATCGACCAACCCTTCTCGATATTATACCCTAGAAAATCAAGTAAAAAAAGTCATTTCCGATCTACATTTCTCGAGAAAAGATCAGAAAATATATGTACATCTGGAACAGTCATACTAATATACCATCAATCTGAAAGTCCTGGGCGGCTTTCCTTGAATACCAAGGTAAAATTGTGGCCCTTCGGAGAGTTTCATTAAGTACCTGGATTTAATGCGTGAGAAGTATTAGTCCACAGTGAGCCTTGAACAATTTGGTTTATCGAGTATATAAGCTTACTTTGATGGTGTAAGGCAAGTTATTAACTTCAGACCATGTAAGGCCGGTTCCGTCCTTTCGATTTGCTTGAATCTGCAGGTGTTCCTCCTGCAAAGTCACCCCGGATGAGTTTTTATAGTGTCTGAAGCGGAAAGAAAATTAGAATTTAGCTCGGACAAGATCGAGTAAACGTTTTACTCTAAGCTCTTCCAAAACTTCAGGGTTTTCTCCAAGGAACTTGATGAGCCATGTAAGAGCTGCAGTCGTCGTGTCGTGACCAGCAACGAGCAGAGTCAGGATATTGTCCTTCATCTGTTGATCAGTGAGTTTATTTTCACCATCAAATGTAGTTTTCCCCTTGCTATGTTTAATTATTAGGGATTCCAGGAAATCTTGTTGGATCACTTCCCCATTTCTCCTCTTTGCTATGATTGAGTCTAGCATGGCAAACATACTATTCCGGGCCTGGAAAAACAGAAAACGTATTATGAAGCTCATCTTTCGTTACGCTATATTACTCAAACTCTTCATTTTTCACTAAAATCTCTACATATTAGGACTTCAACATGGAGTATGGTACTCCAAGTCATGCGTTACATATAACAGACTATTCATTTTTTCCCTAAAGATCCCAACTTCGACGGACCGACACATAGCCGGACATAGATACGGAGTGAAACTTTACCTTAATGGATGCATACGCATATCCGAAAACTTTAGCCCGAATAACACAGACAACATAACCATGGCTTAGCAAAACTTACCTTCATACCATTATAAAAAGCAGTTCCTGGGATCTTGAAAGGCAAGGAAGAAAATGAAGAAGAAATGAGTTTGAAATTAGATCTAAACTTTTCCTGCTCTTCACCACTGGGTTCAAGGCTCATTATCATGTTGCCAATCACTTTGAGAGTGAACTGAAAACCAAAGAGGAAACAATTCAAATATTTATATATTGAAAATCGACATAAAAACGAATTGCTTGTTTACAATACTCAACCGAAGAAGCCTCTTCAAGGACCAATACTCTTTGACCGGACCATCGATCCAGTGTCTCGGTTGCCTGACTGTTGATAAAATGGAAGTATTTTTTCAAACCATCAATGGAGAGTGGCTCAGCTATCAAACGTCTAAGCCTCTTGTGTTCTTCACCATTGGCTTGGAGCAAACTGTTTGGACCCAACACTTGCTGGCCTGTGTAGAAAAGGTTTAAGCTCACCATCCCATCTTTGCCTGTCAACAAGATCTTGCTTGCTTCTCTGCCAGTCATGAACACTGTGAATCTCCCCAAAACAAAGCTCTTGAACGCTTTCCCATATCTGTTAAAAAACAGTAAATATAAGCACATGTATCTAAACATTATTTGTTACTCAAATCACACCATGAGGTTTTGGGTTAAAGCAGCTATGTCTGCAGGGTGTATGCGCGTTGTCAATTGGTAAAAAGAATTTCAACAGATACTACCTTACACATACTATTCAAATGAAAAATAAGTTTTGATTCGTTACCTCTGTTGTCTCTTGTGCATAAACTGCATATACCATATGGACTCGAAAAGTCTGACAGAAATGATAAACTTTCACCTATTACTGGCCACCCCAAGCTACCAGGGATATCCTCCATTGCTTTTGGTGATGTTGATAAGAGAAATAAGCAGAAAGCAGTTGATACAAATATGAAAAGGAGTAATATGATCAACAACATGAAGGGCTCCATTTTTTATCACCGGAGCCTATATTTCAGGCTACATACAAGAACTAACCTAATTGAACTTGAGTCTGTCCGGTTTATAAAAAGACAGTTTAGCAAGCTGATACCTTGGGATCTATGGTGAGATTTGACAGCCATAGCTTTGTCGCTCCAAATCCAATGGAAATGATTATTTCAATGTAAACATGAGAAAGAAGCCACTGTTTTCTCATAAGATTCATCAATTCCTTGGTGTGCATCTTCATAGAAGTTTGCTGCTTGCCTTTCTCTCTTTGATGGAATGGATATTGATCAGCCATAAAAGGTCAAAAGGGAAAGGTCATTATAGGAGGAAGAAAACAAATGTCAACTTTGTATAAAGATCACAAATGTTTTTCAGACGACAAATGCTTAGGGTTATTGGTTTATATGATGTGGAATTATGGATAATAAACAGGCACCTGCTGTCTTTTTCTCATTGATGCTGAATTGAAAGTGACCCACTGATTCGTAACCATGGTTAGCTCACGATCCACGCTTTTTTTTTTTGGTTATACATGGCATATAAGTATTGTGATTCTAAAGCATTCATCAACACCATATCAACTAATTCTGATGGACACTCACTTACACCCCATAAATCATTAGTTTTTTAGATAAACCACACATGGCCACTGATATTTGAGTAAATTTCTTTTTTCACTATCACGAGGCTGTTGGCTCCTCCTCGATGTTGTAGAGCACCGGAATTTATTTGGGCGCTGAATGCATTGAGCCTTTTACTCTCATCTATATTATTTTCTCTGCAACTGATCTAAAGAGGAATGCAAATGAGGATTTGAATTTGAAATGGGTAAATTAAATTTCTAAGGAATTGGGGATCCTGTTTGAAGAGGTGCAAACGACTAATCAAAATAGTTGTCTCATGTGACCAAACGGTACTAGATCAGTTAGTTCATTGCGTTAGATCAACATTCTATTACTTCAATAATGACTAATTAAAATCGATAACGTCAGTAATTAAATCATAACATTTGAAACATCAGAGAAAAAAAACTTATTCAAACATTAGTAACTATTTATGTAATTTACCTTAATTTTTATTAATGACTCAGACAACAATCCACAACAATGGATAAGTATTAGATTCAAATCTGTACATGCAAGAAAACCTGTGAATCATTATTAGTTGCGACATGCAAGGTTAATCCTTGTGGCAGCAGTTGCACCATTTTCATCAATTGAGTAATCTGTAATTTTAGATATGATATATACATTAAATAAGATTAACATAACATGTTTAATATAACAACTCCAGTGAATATTAATTATTCTAATTATAAAGATTTGTTACAACAATAAAAATCATCCACCCATCACTTATACTATATAAGTAGGACCTAATCTATCTAAACAACACATCTCGGTTCATTTCTCTACTGTAATGGTGATAAAGCCATATGTGAAACAGATACGAAGGGACTGATCCCAGCAAGACTCCTTCACAACTTCACCCTGTAATCTATCTACAATATGCTTACGTTGAATGAATTTTCTTGTGCTTCCAGAGCATTTATTTCCAACATGAAACTATGGCCTTTGGTTAAAATCGGTAAAGCGAGGTTGAGGCTGTCCGTTCAAAGTTTCGGCTGTTGTTGTTGCGGCGGTCTCTGCAGGACACCGAAGGGATGTGGAGCAGGTTGATGGGGTAAAAACTGAGGAGGCACTCCTCTATTGAAAGGATTTCCATTCATCGTGGACACTTGGCCAGCTTGTATCCTAAGCCGTTGCACTTCTTCCCTCAAATTTTCATGCAAAGCTACAGAAAACAGAAAACACCAAAAATATAAGTACCTTCAAAGCCTAACTTGTTTGCTATCCTGCCTGTTTTATAAGATAGTAGGAATTGGTTACATTGAAAATTTTATAATAATGGCAATTTCTGTAAGGCATCTGAAAGCCATATACAAGCAAAAATATGACAATCTTTTCCATGCTATAATACTATCTGTCTTTTACACCTATAAATTTACGGGTTAGCGGTGCCTCTTTTCCATTCCATATTAACTAACTCCTTTTCTCACTTCTAGATTTATGGTTTACTTACTTAAATTACGAAACCCACAAGATCCACAAGAAAGAATCACTTATAATATTTATGGTTTATTTATTTAAATAAGAAAAGTATGCATACCATCTCTAAGATGCGTTTGTTGCTCCAGAGCCTGTAGTCGTAGTTTCAATTCCTTATTCTCATTAGTCAACCCAGTAGTATCTCTCTGCATTACAGTTGAAATATATTAGAATTGTTTTCCTTCCTTCAGAATGAGAGCAGTAAACAAATATTTGAACCTCAAAGATGCAAAACAACTGCTTTCCAGGTTAGCAAAAAACAGATGTCATGCCAAGTTTGTTTTACCACAGGAAATTTATTTGCTAGTGCATGGCTGATAATGTGGTAGCAGAACCAAAAAGGATGGATATGGAACAGTTGAAAAGCTATGCCTAAATGGTGAACCGTGCCTTTGCTTCATTCAAAGGCATGATTAAATAAAGTGCATAGTGTTGTCTTTTTACCGACATTCAAACATTGATCCAATGATTGACGTTACACAAGGTAATTAGGTGTGTCGAAAATACAGTTCACAAAACAACGGTAGAACTTCTCAAAGAAGTGTAACGAGGCTAAATATACTGCCAACATTGTTTAGCTTAGACAAAAGCAAAAAAGCCTTAATTACAGTTGGCCCTTCTTCCAATGAAGAAAATTCTATGCATCCATCCACCGAAGAACTGCTATGGATGTAGAAAACAGTCTCAAACTCAAATTGGCTTAAGTGTCTCTGCCCAACCACCACCACAAAGGAAGGAACAGAAACTACTAGATTTCTGAAATGCTAGTAAATAGAAATAAAATACAGTCCAAAATGAAATGGGTAAATTCTCCGGAAATTATTGCAATGATCATGTACCTGATATGACCTACCTATAAACGAATATGCAAGCATACCTCTAATTCATATAATCATATGTACATACAATCCCAACCAATAGAAAAAACCTACCATAATCAAGATATAAAATACAATCACAAAGAGCCATAATTAAGATTTTGGAGATCGAAAAATTACAATTAAAGGATTGACGTATTATATTATAACATGACCAAAAGAGAACATTTAATAACATGAACCACGAAAGTTGAGAACCGGATCACATGAATGAGATGTAAAGATAAAGCTGTAAAGCTAAACCGAAAAAAAGTACATTTACCTGTAACATTGTGACCTGTGCGGAGAGATTGGAAGCTTCTGTCTGAAGAGTCTGGACCTTCTTTTCCAGTTCACTCGTGTATCTAATCTTCCTCTCCTTTGAACGCGCAGCCGATTGCCTGTTTGCCAGAATCCTACAACAGAGAGAAGGAAAAAAAAACTTAATTTAGTTGAGCAAAATTATTGCATCAGCTAATTTCCCTTCACAAGAGAACATTTTCCCACCCATTTATGATTAAAGAAAATTAATTAGCACCATAACATTGTTTTTGGTGAAGAACAGACAAAAAAATCAACTTAAATCATAGTATATAATTTCTACCTTTTAGCTCTTTGGGGATCGATAAGGGCAAGCTCAGCGAGTCTATCAGGAGCCATAGCTTTCTTAACACCATCAACGGCCATGAATGACTCAACGTCAAACGATGTTGTACTCGAACCGTCCATCGAGTTACTATGCCTGTGGTGAACCCTCTTCTCTCCCACATCTCTTTTCCCGTCAAATATCTCACCCCTGGCACCTCCGGAAATCGTGGGACCAGACAACCCGAGCCCGTCGAAGAAATCAGAGTCAACGGAAAGGCTACGGCGGTGGGAAGAGATTTGCCTAGGGTTATTTTGGGTGGGGAATGGAAGGCAGTTGGATGAGGAGCCGTCAGAGGATTCAGCGGCCACAGGTGCGACAGGTGGAAGAGCGGGACTGGGGGAGGAATCGGGAAGGTCAAGGCATGAAAGATCGAGGTCCGACGGGTCGAAGAGGAGAAGATCGTCGAAACGGAAAGTTGTGTCGGAATGGGCTCGCCTATGGTGAGCTCCACGTGGAGGCATTTGGTCTATCTCCATTCTCATCTTTTGCTCCATCTTCGTTTACTTCTAGAAATAGGCTGAGAAAACGGCGGCTCCGCCGGCGGCGGCTAGGTGGAAAAGATTATTAGTATTATTGTTACAAGTGGTGGGAATTATTAGTGGTGTTGAGAGTTTGTGGCGTACCGAGGGCTTCTGCTTTAAAAATGCATATATATCTCTCCAAGTAAGTACAGGTTGAACTAATTTGTAATGAAATATTCTTTTGGTATTTTTTATTTTAATTATGGGTAAAGTACACAAATGATTCCCAACTATAACACATTGCTTTTTTGAGTCCCACTATAATTAAAAGTTAAAAATGGTCCCTCATTTATTAAAAGTTACAAAATCGTATCCGGATTATAGAATGTTATTTTGTTGAGTTCTCTAACTATTAAAAATTATAAAATAGTCATCTGACTATTTATATGTTTCAAACTCATCATTTTCTATAAAAAAATTGACAATCGTTTGAGTTGAACATTAACCTACTGATTGGTATATGATAAAATCATATTTTAATGATGTTATTGGCACTGTGGTTGCTTTTAAGAACTGTCTCAATGACAAATATTTCAAGCATTGACTCGAAAACATAATGTAAACGAAGACTTTATCCACGATACACAACTCAAACGATTTTGGGACTAAATTTTATCATATCTCGATCAGAAAGTTTAACATCCAGCTTAGAAGGTCGTCATTTTTTTTATCAGATAAGGATGAGTTTGGAATATATGAATAGTCGGGAGACCATTTTGTAACTTTTAATAGTCGACGGACTCAACAATATGGGAAATTCTGGCGTACAACTATTTAATTTAAGACTAAGAAACAACGGGAAATGGACGCAATTAAATATATGAAGAAAAAACATATTATTTCATATTGTCAATAAAAAAAATGTTACTAAGAATGTAACAGTTTTTATTCAACCGAAAATGTTATGAAAAAAAGTTAATATTTTAGGTGGTGTTAAACCAAAAATGTTATAAGTTTTATCACATTTTTATTGATATCATTTTCCACGGTTTTTTAGTCTTAAATTAAGTGATTATTCCTTGACACTTTTTCAAACTGTTTGGTTTTTTAATATTATTTTTTAACAATTAAATAATAATACGAACAAAAAATCCATATCATCAGTTTTGACAGTAGAAACCAACATCTATAATCAATTTAAACTTTACTAATACCATTATAAATGTAGATTGCCAAACTATAATAAATTAAAATAGAGAAAATAAATATAAAAATTTTAAAACAATAGAGATCTAAAACCACAAGTAGACAAAGAAAACAATCCTTTTGGAAAAAAACTACTTTGCATAGGCTTTCAATGAATAATCCCAAATATTCTTATGGTGTCACCGAGGATAACATGGATATACAAACCAGTCCACCGGACCCATGCGACACTGGTGAGTTAGAGATGGTGGTTGATACCCCCAACGAAGTTTTTTTTCCCCTCATATGCTTCGATCCTTGCCAAAAATTCCAACCGAGATGATAAGATCACCGATAAACCTAAGACAGTGAAAGAGAAGTTTCATGTGATGGATAAGGATCTCATCATTAGCACGCAGTGTTGTATGCCCTCTACACAATTATCTGATCGAGCTTATAAGTTGATGGAGGCTAGCATGGCTAGAATTTTTGTCCTAAAGCTTTTGGGTCATAATATCGGCATCAATGCTCTTACAAACAAAACTTTTGCGTTATGGAGACCAACACAACCCTTCACGCTTATGGGCTTGGAGAACGGATATTTCCTGGCCAGATTTCAAAATGATACAGATTATAAGAAATTTTTGGCAGAAGGATCCTGGATCATATACAACCAATACCTTACTGTGCAACCTTGGATCCTGATATGAGGCGCTTGCCGAAAATTTGACCGAAAAAGGGAAGCCCCAAATCCAAGATGCTGTTATTGGAAGCGAGTAACGTTAATCCCAAATCGAAAAAAACTTCCAATGTGAACGTTGACCCCATAATCAAGTCAGATTCTTCATGCCCCATATCCTCGGAACAGTTGGTCTTTTAATTTAAAGGTTGTCCAAATTGATACCAACTCCCTTTGTGAAGATTCTAATCCTATAATCAATTCCATGCTATCACAATTAAATTAGGCAGGTCTCAACTCCCATAAACAATCCATAATTTCTTCTCCTAAAACCCAAGTGTTAGACACCAACGTGTCTCTATGCAAAGTGCTCCCTTGCAACATGTCCATATGCAAAGCCCTCCTCTTACTAACGTGGCCCATAACCATGTGCATAAACTGGCTCACGATTTAGACAAAAGTGAGCACGCAGCCCGTAATCCCGCTCCCATGGTCATTGTATTTCAGATCCTAAGTCGATTTCCTCCCCGACTGCATCCTTACCTTTGACCAGTCCCAAGGCTACTCCTATGGTCAGTTTGAATGGCGATTATTTTTTTCCAAATCCAATACGATATTTGATAACTCTCTTAGCGTTGATGGGCATGTGCCATCTTATTTAAATCATAAATTTCACATAGTTATTAGTTTTAAGGATGGCCACCGGGATGCTAACAACACCATTAGTCATAGTCAAGATAACCGAAAGAAAAATAACCTTTCAAAAATCGATCCACTCCTTACATAGTTCGTCATAAGGGGCTAAAATCCAAGAACCAAACCAACAATTGAATGCTTATTAAGGAGGTTGTGGAAGTTTTGGCTAATTTGATCCAAGAGCAAGATCGGTCTTTACAATCTAATGATACGCATGTGGGTGAAGCCAATGATAGGCAATAGCCTCTTTTTGTTTCCCTTCCCTCCGTTTTCCATGGACTTCACTTTTTTGTTTTGAACTGTCAAGGGTGTGGGGGAATTAAGTTTCCTAAAGTTTTTTTTGAGTATATACGTGATTATAGACCTAATATGGTTACCCTCCAAGAACCTCGCATTAGCGGGAAGAAAACAGATCGAATTATAATGCGGGAAGAAAGCAGATCGAATTATCGGGAAGTTGGGTTTTGATAATTCCTATAAAGTTAAGTCGACGAGTTTCTCCGGAGGAATTTGGCTTCTCTAGCATTTCTCTCTCTCGATATAGGTGTTGGCTGCTCACCCTCCTTCCCAGTTCCTATCTCTACTACCATTATTTGTGGAAGTCTGAATAGTAGTAATTGCAAGGCTTTCTGGAGGGATATGACTCGTCTGCCTGTGAGGGGTATCTCCTGGGTTCTAGATGGTGATTTCAATGTCATCCTTTCTGTCGATAAGAAAAAAGGTGGTATTAGAAGAGGGGTGGGTAGTAAGTTTTACTGAGATTTTCTTGACAGCCATGGGCTTTATGACATGGATTTCAAAGGTCTCAAATTTACTTGGACCCTTGGTGGTATTTTCGAACGCCTTGATCACATGGTAGCTAACGACCTATGGGTTGCTTTGGCTCCATCCTATGTCATTCATCATCTTAATCATCTCAAATCTGGTCATCGTCCTCTGCTTCTTCATACCTTGGATAACTCTCGCCAAACTCGTAATCAGCCTTTCTGTTTCCTTACCAGTTGGACCAAGCATAAGGAGTTTAACCCTTTTATCTAGAATAATTGGACGTTCAATGACAATATTTACAAGTCAATAACCTATCTGAGGTCATTAGAGACTAGAATATGAACGTCTTTGGCTACATTATCCAAGAGAAAAAGAAGCTCAAAGGTCAGCTCTCTGCGATCCAAGAGGACATGGATTTCTTCTAGTTCTATCCACCTTAAAGATGACGAGCTCAAAATTCGATCCAAATTAGAGGAGATTCTTGATCAAGAAGAGCTCCTTTGAAAGCAGACGTCTTATGACACGTGGCTCAACACAAAGTAATTTCATTCTTGTGTTCTTGATGTAAGGTGTTTCCACCTTAACGATTGATTGTGGATCTATGAAGGAAGCAAAACAACCTGCATAAGATAATGGTAAGAAAAGGATAGTTTAAGATGGTAAGTGTGATGGTACATGGTCAGTTTAGGGGATGGTAGCGGAAGACGTTTGGTTGTGATTATGAAATGGTTTATGAATTAACAGAATGGTAAATATGATAGTATCTTAAAGAAGACTCAAAGAAGAACCAATGTTAAAGAACAAAGACCCAGACTTTATATTGCTTCAATAAGAGATGGTAAATAAGGAATGGATAGTATCTTATATTAACCAAGGAAGAACCAATGCTATAAAGAGCAAAGACCCAACCTTACAAATCGTTCTAAGGGATGGTAAATAGGACTTTGACCCACTATCTATGAAGAGATAGGAACCACAAGTATCATGGTGAGATAGAATGACGCCACAAGTAACAAGTTACTTGATAAGTCGATAAAAGTCACAAAGGACTCAATAAGAGAAAACTCTCAAGTTTTAATTTCAATTCAAAGTTGTGTTTACAATGCAATATGAAATCTATTTATAGGACTTGAAATGCATGCATGGACGTAGGTTACAATATGCATGGCCGAATGTTACAATTTGCATGGCCTCATGGTGCTTGTTGACGTGGCTCATCACTAATCATAATTTGAGCACAATTTCATGCATGAAGTCGGTCAAATGTTGGTGTAGTGTGCTCTGGTCGAATGTTCCATTATGATTGGCTGAATGGTGCTTTGTTGATGTGTCATTCTTTGTCTAATAATCCAAACATATTTGAGCACAATTTCATGCATATTTTATGCATATATTCGGTCAATGGTAGGGAGAGAAGTGCCTTGGCCGGATTTTCTTCAAGAGAGGTGTAGTGGAGACAAAACCAAGTGGAGACAAGCAATATTCCATGCACATGGGTTGTTTGTAGTGCATTCCTTTTCTCACGCACATGGGTTGTTCTCTTAGTGTAATTATATGATTTGCAGCAGCTAGTGGCCTGAATTTGTCCTCATCTCATGCTTGATTAAGTGGAAATATAATTAATTAAACAAGGACTAATGGTGTGGAGTTGTTATAATGCATTTCCAGCCAAAATTAATCTCCATTAAGCTGCCCACAATCTACCATGAAATGCTGAATGGATGGTGAGCTATTTTTGTTCCCTTAATGCTCAACAAGTTGCCCTTCATGCTCCATTAACCATACTACCTGGATATATCTTCTCAAGTGCTTCAACATGCTG